CTGTGTTCGCTGCACTTTACAAACTATTACCCAGGTTCGTTGAGGCCATTCGAGCATGGCCGAAATTCAAGCCCAAATCATTTCGCGGTTAACTCATGCGGCTTTTCTACAGCCTGACTCCGTTCCTCTTCTCGCTCACGTGGGGTAAGTTGAAAGGTACAGTGAAAATTTGATTGATTGATTGATTGATTGATTCTTATAGTGAGTGAGTGAGTGAGTGAGTGAGTGAGTGAGTGAGAGCAATTTCCACAACTTTAGTTTCAGATTTATACTGCCTCCTTATCCTGTGCATTTTATACATTTGTCGGCACATCTTCAAAATATTCGCTTCACACACAGAGATAACTAACTGGCGCAAATTATCAGTTCAAACAAGTGCAAATGTGCAGTTCAAACAAGACTTGCTTCGAACAAAGTTCAAAGCAAGTTTTGGAAGTTTGCGAGCATGAATTATTATTAGCTAGTGCGCCTGCCGTAGGCAACCCGTGGAAATGGATGTCAAGACGAAATGCCTCGATAAATACGGGAAAGCTGATATTGGTCACTGGGGACTGAAAGCTAAAACTGTCGAGATAAACGAACTGCGTCTTGCGTGACCTACATTGCACGTCACCTTGCTGGAACAATACTCAAAAACGAATGAGAGGTAGAAATACTTTAAAGGAGTCAGAGAGGCCTATAGCTGCTGAGGCCTATAGCTTCTGATTCGGAAACAAAGTTCGCATATGCTATAAAGCTACGGCAGAAGCAAACCGATGGCTTTTTCCCTTGCGACAGCCGACGCAGCTTCTTTGCACACGCTTCGGTAGTTCAAACTGCTTTCGTACTCACTGGGGACACTTTAAGCACAACGCCTTGCTGAAGTGCATCGTTTCCATCTTTCAGTTCTTTGTGCGTTTGTTTGTTTGTTTGTTTGTTTGTTTTTTGCGCCTTTCGTTCTCTGTTATTCGTATTCCTTTCATCGATGTCTGTCTTGTTTTATTTGTCGAGCCTCGTTTCTTTGGCTGCAGCGGGCCTTGCTCCCACACCTTGTTTTCCATACGATTTGTTTGCTCTGGCTGCAGCTTCTGCATCTGGTAACAGTCCCACAGCCAGGAAGTGGCACACCAGGCCCATGACCCCTCCTCCCCTCCCCCCTGAAATGTTTTTTGCCATAGCATAAGGAACATAAAATGACACTCAACCACATCGGCTTTCCCGGTCCCGACTTCGGATGGGAGTGGTGCCCCCCTCCTCCCAAAAATGATTGCTACTAAGCTACTGTCTGGTAACTGCCACTCATCTCCACCGGAAGCTGCGCAGCTGCAGCCAGTTTCTATGAACAAGGCTTCCACACACACAATCGTAATCACTAGATATTAACTCATTTCTCACTTTTTTTAAGAGTCGAGAATTTTCCTTTTCTCGCCTTTTATTTCTTCTTGTTCTCCTCAACTTGTCTTACGTTTCGTAACTTCGTAATAACAATTTCAGAGGTGTTTACGTTGATTGATTGATATGTGGGGTTTAACGTCCCAAAACCACTATATGATTATGAGAGACGCCGTAGTGGAGGGCTCCGGAAATTTAGACCACCTGGGGTTCTTTAACGTGCACCCAAATCTGAGCACACGGGCCTACAACATTTCCGCCTCCATCGGAAATGCAGCCGCCGCAGCCGGGATTCGAACCCGCGCCCTGCGGGTCAGCGGACGAGTACCTTAGCCACTAGACCACCACGGCGGGGCAGAGGTGTTTACGTGCCAATACTACGATAAGATTATGAGGGACGCCGTAAAGGTGCGCTCCGGAAATTTCAACTACCTGGTGTTTTTCGATGTGCACGAACACTTCAGAGTACACGTGCCTCTAGAATTTAGTCTCCACCAAAACGCGTCTGTCACGGCCGGAATCGAATCCGTGTCATTCGAGTCATCACTAGAGCACCGCAACCACTGTTGTTTTGAAACTTCGATTGAGTGAGGAATGGAAAAAAACGTATAGAAAAAATATTAACAGCGAGAGAGATAATCTATCGCTGTTAACAGCGAGAGAGATAACAGCAGAGAGATAATCTAGAAAGATAATGACTCTGGCATTCTGCTCAGTCAATGTTCTTGTGATAACAGCAGTTTGCGAGCTCCTGGTAATGTATACAGTATTTTAGTTTCGATTTATGAGCGTCGCCGTCTCGAACTGATCATCGATTGTTTTGCCGGCTTTCTATATTGCAATATGAAATGACCTTGGTCATAAAACCGTACCGGCCCAAGCAGCTTAGTGTGTTTCAGTTCACATTATCACTGTGTTGCTTATTTGATACGGACACAAAACTGCAACGTTATCAGTCCCAGATGGCGGCGCTAGAGCGCGTTCAGAAGGAACCAAGACAGAGCCCTAATTATAAACATATATTTCAACTCACGGAGAATTTCTTAGCTCGCACTGTTGACAAACGCACATAGAAGAAAGACGAAGTGCTCGTTTTCCTCTGCTCTTCTTGTGCCAGGCTTACAAATTTGACCATGAATACCTCCCAGCTCGCACAACTATCAGTTTCACTGTAGTTTATTTCTACTAGGCAACAATTGTCGCAAACATATTGAATGAGCCGCTTTAAATAGACTTGTACAAAAGGCAGGAAGAAAAACACGACTTATCTTGAGTCCTTACTTTTAGGACACCCTGTTGAAAATGTTTAGCCTGTTCCAACTCGCCCAAACGTCGCTTCTCCGGCAATAGTTGGTTACTCTAAATTATATTTGCAGTAGCTGGCCGTTCGCTGTCAGAGGAAAGGTTGCTATATTTGTCGCAATTCACAGGGAGCTTCATCTTTTAGCTGCACCTAAGCTTCGTTGCTTCCAACCTTTTGAAAAGTTTTCTTTATTTCATTTTTAAAAGAAGCAGTTACTCGCCTTTTTATGGCCTCTCGGTACATAAACATGCGTTTAAAATTTTTGTTTTACTGAATTCTTCGTCCGCAAATGGCCATAGTATCTTTACTTCTTTTTTTCATTTTCACATTACCTGCTAAAACTATGGGGTTTTAAAACTATAATGTGGTAACAAATTGCCTACTTTTTCGCACTTGCAAGAAGAATCCGCAATCAAGAAGTTAATTAAAGGTTTAGAGCAAATTGGTCAATGTACTGTCGAAACCATGCCTGAAAACTTTCTTTTTTGTTAAACAATCATTCATAATATTAAATGAAACTAACTTAAATGTCTTGCTTGATTTCCAGCTTTTTTTATAAAAAATATTTGCCGAATAGATATGAACAGCCCTGTTCTTTTTTTTTTGTCTGTTAACCAAACAATCTTTATTCAAAAACAGCGTGAACCCTTTCGTGTCCCGCATTTTTTTTTTACTGCTTCATTTTAAGCAGGCTCAATCTCGCCGGCATAATTAACGTCGTTTTTCAAAACTTGGTCAAACCATATCAATCTTCCTTCTTGATGCTTAGCTTCACTTCCTGTGACTACGCGTGCCTTAGACATAGTCACTCCGTCTCTTATCATCAGTCGACTCATCTAGATACCAAACTTCATTTTTATGCTGCTTGAAATCTTCCATTCTCTTTACATTTATCGAAGCTGAGTGTTTCCACGCAACGAGACCTCACAGCTCATCTTCCCAGAAAGCCACATGAGCTGCATCTGCCGTGCTTGAAAACAACGCACTTGTCCGCTCAAATATAGCTTATTTCAAGCGCACTGTGTGACATCGCACACACAGAATAAGTCTTAAATAAGAGCTTACGAGGTTCGCGGTGCGTTTCATACGTCATCGCCTAAATCTGCTTGTAAACGCAGGTCGCGCGATCGAATCCCAGCCACAGCAGCCATAGTTTGGGTGGAGGCTAAAATTCTTCAGGCCCATGTACCTACCTTTAGGTCCACCTTTAAGAACCCTAGATAGTAAAATTTTCTGGAGGCCTACACTAGGGCGTCTTTCATAATCATGACTTGGTTTAGGGACTTTAAACTCCAGTAGTTATTATTATTGCATATCTGCTTGTTCTATGCTACAGAACTGCTGATTGATTACTATGCACGAAGTGGGTGAAGTACGAACGTAGTTGGAACATCAGTATTAACGTTTATCAAAGCAATGGCTAACTTGTGTCACTTATTTTTGATCGTGACAAGTGTGGTGAGAGACGCATGGTTTACGGCTATAGTGTAGAATCGGCCCAGAAACGTAGCCAGAACTTTCTTTTTTTTTTTTTGGAGTTAGGGGGGAGAGGAGGGTCATTCATTTTTTATGTATCTTCGCGCATGCATTTTTGTGCGCATGTATATACATAAATGAAATCAAGATATTTCGAAAGTCGGGGTAAATTTGTAACCCTGGCTGCGCGAGTGAGTTGCGTGCCAGTGTTCAGTTAAAACCGTGTAAATATCGCACAGTAAAACGTAAAAATACAACTATTATACACCAATTTTACTGGGTGCATGAAACGCTACATACTGCCGTCCAGCTCATTTTCTTTTTTTTTCTTGTCTATCTTCATATTTCTTTTTTTTTAGAAAAAGCATTTCAGAAGCTTTTTTTACGAACGCTAACGATTGAGCGCGAATGTATCCGTTTAATTTATCGGATTAACGAGGCATTAAGAATGGGTGAATGGCTTCTTTTCTTTCTTCGACACAGCCTAACGAAACCAAAAAATTAGGGTAAGAGAGGTATAAGAATGTTATTAGTCATTTAACAGCACAATGCAGTAAATATGCTAAAAATGCACACAAATTAAGGTGCACGAAAAGACAACTAACCAGTGGTGTTCACACGCCATTAGAAAACGATTCCGATGCTCTACCAATCGAGCTACGGTGGCGCTCGTGCTCGAGTTCTTTTTATTGCGTTTTTCGGTGGATGTAAACCTATGAGTGTTCACTGGCGCCGCCCGTAACCAAGACAGCAGAAACACTTTTTTTTTGCCTGCTGGCAAGTGTATTGAGCCCACCACGTTCTATAGAAAACAACTCACACTCGTGTTTTCCGTCTCGCTCGTTTGCAGACAGCAACTTCGTGCTGGGCAATGCACAGGTGCCGGCGCTGTTCCCCATCGTGTACTGCTCAGACGGTTTCTGCGAGCTGACGGGCTACCCGCGGGCGCAGATCATGCAGAAGGGATGCGCCTGCGCCTTTCTCTACGGGCCCGAGACCAAGGAGGAAGCGATACGCGAGATAGACGACGCGCTCGAGAACAAGACCGAGCTCAAGCTCGAGGTCATCTTCTACAAGAAGAATGGTTCGTCACGCCGTTTATGCCTTCCCGCAAGAGTACTTCTCCAGGGAGGAGCTGAGGGTCTTTGAGGTCGCCTGGTACTAAGCTGTGTGGCAGTCGAATTTCAACTCTGTGGTCGGCATCATGCTTATATCAACAAGGTGCCACAGATGTATTGTCAGGCCGTCAATGACTTCCACCCAGCTTCATTTCGGTTGACCTAAGAAGGGGAACATTAAGGGCTCGTTTTTTTTATTTTTATTAGACTCTAGTGGACCTCATTACGGTACGCGCAAAAAAGGACGCGGTAGACATGGAGGTAAACGACACAAGCGCTGTCTCTAGCAACTGCAAGTTTAATCGGAAAAAAACCTGGCATGTATAAACATAGAGGAAGGCACTAAAGATTTTTTTTCGTCCTTGACCAAGCATCTAATTATATATGCTCCAGATATGGAACCTCAGGATTCGTGATAGCGACTGAAGGCTAGCTCGCACATTTGTCTCTTGCTTTTTACAATCTCAAAATGCTTCAGCTATTTCACGCGTGTGATGACCGTCATGAGTACGTTCCAACTAGCCCAATTTGCTACATTACAAGTGGGCTTGTCCTTTACGCGAGAACTTAAACAAGTTATGTTGTTCATAGTTGTCAGGGTCACCCAAAACAACAGACAAGTCTGCACAAAAGTCACAAGACTTCTTAAGAACGAAAAGTCTAGTTGTGCAGACTTGTCCAGGACCCAATCTGTTGGTTATATGCTGAGATTTTGCTTTTTTCTAGCACACTATATTTTATATCAGATGCTTAAATGCGAAATGATATGCTTCTTTCACTTGATCAATAACACAACTTCTCGCAAAGTTATTTGAAATCCTCAGCGCACCTGACATTCAAGTGTGTGAGACGGCTTTTGCGTAGCACTAGCTTAGGGAACGCAAATATGAGTGACCCCTGTAAAATTGTGCAATGGAAAATATTGTTTGCGTTGAAAGTCACGTCGTTGACAGTGACTGAATTATGCTACTAACAAATGTCACAAATTTGTAAGTGACACACTCGCGTTACAGCGATTCTAATTAGAAGCATGATATGCGTATAAAATATTTCCTGTTTAATTTGCAAAACAACAACGATATCAAAGCACTTGATGGCGTTGCCTCCATCCATAGCCATGTGGTATAATGATTTTTGAATGCTCGATTCGCAGGAAGCCCATTCTGGTGCCTTCTGGACATCGTGCCCATCAAGAACGAGAAGCACGAAGTGGTCCTCTTCCTGGCATCGCACAAGGACATCACAAAGTCCAAGATGGCCGAGATCGAGACGGACGACGCGGACGAGACGGCCGAGCTCGGTATACTATCGCATTATACCACAGCAATACAACATTGTAGGAGGTTGATCGGTCTGAAATGTTCCGAGGCCACGCTTGAATTACAGAAGATGCCACAGCAAAGGGCTTCCGTCTAATTCATTGAATATGAACGACCGGTTAGTAAATTCCAGCTTCGTTCGCTTTCATCATGGAAACGAGAAGGTTAATTATTCATGCCGGTGTTGCTTAAATGTTTTCACTTATTACGATGTAACCTTCAGAAAGCACACTTACTGGGAATTAATGTTTTTATTGAAAAAAAACACTTATACAGCCGATTTTGGAAGCCTAAACGTTACTTCAGGTTGACGTTCCAAACACAACAAACGAGTCATTATAGTAAACACTGTATCATAGAGTCTTCCAGACCAATATGTCGCCTCTAGGGGCTTACTTTACCGCAAGCTCCAATATTAGAATTTACTCTTTAAAAAACTGATCCTTGTTTTGCATCCCATTTTTTTTTCTTTTCATCCAATACAATCTAAATCAAGTTCAGCCTACTTGTCATCCCGTTATTTCTCTCACCAGTCCATCTTCCTTGTTATCCTACTCGCTATATATCACTTTCAATATTTGTCTGAATCAGCCTATCTTCATATAAGTTTATTCGTCGTGCCTGTCAAGTGTTACTTTCGTCTACCGAGTTTCTTTTCCGCTTGTCTCCGCGACACGAGCTGGGAACTCGAAAGCCGACCCATTTTCATGACGTATAGACGGCAGCCCAGTCACGCACAAAGAATGCATACGTGTGACATGGAGTGTTAAGCATAACCACAGCATCTTGTCATTCGGTCTTGGTGCTGGTAAGATGTAGATCGTGCCGTACCTCCTAGCCTGACCCTCGAGTCACGGTAGTATTCGTCCCCTGCGCCATATTTGTATTTATTGGTAAGCAATAACCGGATGGCCTGGAAAACCATTGAAAGTGGCATTTGCTGCGATCGAACTCTAACCCTGTCCCGGCGTGCGGTTGCGCTGGTTAACACTGCCTGGACCAGTTCACATCCCTGCAAGCGTAGATATCCATGAACGCCTAGAAAGGTGAAACAAACGCGGTCGCACAAATAAAAGATAGTGCACTGCAGGCGTGCAAACCTAGCTGCACGTAAAAAGCAGCTGCAGCCACAGTAGTACCGTCTTTTTCTTTTGTATTCTATTTTATATCTGCTCTGAATCAGCGACAGTGTGACACTTCCCGGCACTGACACTAAAAAAATTACGGGAGATACTTCAAACTTTTTAACGATGAACAGGTAAAAACTAAGTTGAAATCATATTTATAATAATTATTGGAGTTTTATGTCCCTAAATGGGGATATCATGAATTAGAAATGGCAGAATGGCGGCCCGGAAAATTTCGGCCCCAGAACATCCGCTCTTCATCGTGCGCCTAAGTTTAAGCGTGCAGGCAGGCCTCTAGGTTTTTGCCTCCATCGAAACACAGCCGGCACGATTAGTTGAACTTACCATACAGTTCCATACAAAATTCGCTCGGGGAAACTGCGGCGCTGCGATCGTTCATTCACTGTGGGAATAATAGACAGCACATTAATTTGCCTAATCAACGTGCTTGCGGCCTCAAACGTGTTTGTGGCTTTGCTTATTGTTATGTTTTGGCGTTTCTTCCGGATGACAGAATGAATCTTCAACTTCGAGGCCCTACTTGGGTTTGTGAGCGTAAAAGCTCAAAGCGATGATGTCAAATTGAACGTCTCCTGAACTTCGTCTCTCGTAAGAGCGACTGCAGGCGACAGGGAGATGAACGCAGCCGAAAAAACGAATATTAGACAAATCCATGCGCTACATATCATTCCCATGATGACTGAAGTGCCATGTGTTGCAGCTTCCATATACACTAGCGCCAGATTGCTGTACGATGTATTCCTAGGAAACACCTTGGTGTTGGGCACGCCTCTCACCTTTTTTCACGACCATACGCAACTGCTGCTTGCTGAGATTAGCGCAAAGACGAAAGGGGAAAAGTATCGGCACGCAGTCCGCATGCATGCTCACATACATGCATGCATGTTTTTTTTTTTTTGTTACTCACGCGAATGCGTCATGAACGAAGTGTACGTAGTATACGTGCTGCTTGTACGCTCATGGCCGATGTGAAGTACCTAATTTACTTCCAACAAAGCTAAGTATATGCCCATTTTATCTTTTTAGTAGCGTTTCTTATATCTGAAGTGATCAGGCATGCCTGTCTGCTGTAGGGCATGTGAGCTTTGACTGTCTCTGAAAAAACCTTCGTAGCAAGAACTTTCTATCGCTATTTTTTTTTTGTTTCACAAGGCAAATTTCGCAAGGCTAGATCGACCGGCAACCTACAACATTCTCACCATCCTGATTCACTAACTTGTTCGGTTTAGATGACAAGGTGTTTACTAGCGTGCGTTCCCGTTTTCGCGTTTGCCAACGCAAACTTCTCGTAGCCGGGTGAGGCGAGGTCTCCTCTGCGTCTATGAAATCGTCATCATCACTATCATCATCAGCAGCAGCAGCAGCAGCAGCATCTCGTAGCCTAACTTAGCGGGAAACAACCACTGCGCAGACGCAAACGGCAACGTGGATCTGGAGGGCTGCGTGCAGAACAACAACTACCAGCGGAGACGGAGTCGGGCGGTCCTCTATCAACTCTCGGGTCACTACCGCCACGAAAAGAAGATGTCCAAGCTCAAGCTCAACAACGTGAGCAGCTTCTCTTATTTCCTACGTTAATAATAGTATTCGAGGAAGTTTTACGTCCCAAAGCTACGATATGAAATTTCTATCCCCTGTAGTTCTCTAACGTGCACGTGAACTTAAGCACACGGATCTCTATAGCGTATTGCATCCATCTAAATGAGTCTGCCATAGACTGGATTCCATCCCACGACCTTCGAGTTAGCAGTCAATGATTACAAGAACCATATGACTGCGACGGGTATTTCTCATTTTCGGCAGACCTGTCAGCTGCGACTGTTATGATATTCAAGCAGTGTTCAGGCAAATTTCACCACCTACTGTTTCAGGAATGCAAGACCGTCGCAATAGTATATAATACGATGCTTGATGCAGGCATTATACATTGATCAAGGTCGAATGTTGAAATAGTTGGCACACCGTTTCAATCAGCCCGTGGTTTCGCGTTAGCAATGAAGTAGGAAAAACCAAGTGCACACAAAGTTACGACAGTGGCTGTGTTCTCTTACATGGTTCCGATAAAAAAAATTTTAACTCAGCTCTATGCAGCCTGACGCCAAGACAAGACACTTCCCCGTGTACATTTCTCAGTGGGTAAATCTTACAACAAAACAAGCTAACGAGACATTTCATTGACAAATTCAGTCATTCTTTTCGAGGCTTTTACTCCTCGATGAGTAAAAGAAACTCGCCAATTATGCGTAAACAAAGGAACGCATTGAAGTGATTCAATGTTTCGCAATGTGCGAAAAGACGACTTGCAAAACGTTTTCACGTGCACTGTGCCAACTCCATTCGTTTCCGTGCTTTCGCTGCCAATTTTAACGAAATTGACGAGAATACAGTGTAGTCTTTCTTCTCCGAGATTTTCAGCATGACTAGTTTCGTAAAGACAGCCATTTCGACAGACAGACAGCCATTTCGTAAACGGCAATGGAAAACGTCGTTAAACCATTTTACGATAGCCAGAATGCTCAAGTTAAAGGGACACGAATGGTCTACCAGTTACTCGCTGCAGCATGCTTCCGTCTGTGGAAATGCTCTGTTCACTCGAAGTTGCGTCGCATCGCTATCGGTTCGCACACGGCATATACCACTAAAGAGACGCGGCTTTTGTGCATGTATGTCATTTCTCTATTCTTGTTTAGTATTAGGATAGCGACATCTAAACGAGCACACCATATACGTGCCGCATATCAACGTCAAGAGTCTAGTAAGCGCGCAAGTGTGCAAGAACGTAACCAACAGAATCACCCAACGTGATGACGAAACTAGGAATCGCTGGAGTATATCATTCGCTTGGCCGTCGCGCTGAACTCGGTACCATCAAAGTCGCGTACTTTCGACGGTATTGCGGGCATCTGCACTGTGGCCCAACCATTTGGGTAATGGCAAGATACCCGCGACTTCTACGACAGTACGTGTCGTGAGTATAAGCGACCACCCCACCCCCTTTTTTTTCTTCTTGTTTTTCTTGCGTATTCCGTTTGGAGAATAAAGCCACCGCATTATTACCGTGGGGAGGGGGAGGGCGTAACAACCTCGTAATCTGGTCAAAAAGTTACGCGATACCTATTCGTGAAAGCTATTGCGCCAAAACGTCTTAGGGTAATTGGGTGCCAGGAAGGCTCGCTTGCATTCCGAAAGAAGCTGGTAATCCGTCTTCTGAGGCGTCGAGGCAGGATTTCATCACTCGTCCCGTCGTCTACCTCTCTTCTGTCAGAGGAGTTCGATGCGTAATGACAAAGCCCGCTGTGCACGATAATAGCCGGCATTTATTCATGCACCTCTCATCGTGGCCATTATAGGCGCGTGGAACGGCGCGCTGATTAGCATGTTTCCGCCCACCCTGGCGAGCCATATAGCGTCTTCCAGAACATTGCGCGGCTGCGAAGAAGAACAATATTCACGCCTTCGCGAAACTATTGCGTAGCGGGGCGTGTTTTGCTTTGTTTGACGGACAGTGGTGTCGATGGTGCTCTTGAAATCACCTTAGCAGTATGTGTGGGACAACCTACAATTAAAGAAAGAGAACCCATTTCTACTTCTTTTACACTTATTGGTGCTGATCAAGACGGGCGAAAAGGTCAGACCAAGTGACCAACCATTGATTGATTGATTGATTGATTGATTGATTGATTGATTGATTGATTGATTGATTGATTGATTGATTGATTGATTGATTGACATCGTCGTAGCCAAAAAGCCCATGTACGTTATTGGAGAGCTTATGTGGCGCACTCACTTGACGTGATTGTTTTGTACAGTCCAGTCTGTAATTTTAACGAAAAAAAAGCACAGTAAAAACGTGATAACAACAAAATGAAGTGCAAAATAATGTCCATCGTGTGCTTACGTTTTCGTCACAACATTTCTTAGTTGACTTTTTTTTTTCGGCCAGTCAATCTGAGTGGCATGCCTTTGCTCTTGTGCGCAGGAAAGTAAAGTTTTCACTCCGGCCCTACGCTTCATGCAACCGAACTAGGCTGAATCTCACATGAACCATCGCATGCCTATAGAATTGACGTCCTCTCCGTCGGAGCCCCGCTGTAGAAACCGTCGTTTCGCAAGCACTGTCGCTGACGTATAGCAAAAAATATTCTCGTCAAAGAGTAGCCGGCGTACCCGAAATGCCCCAAACTTTCCTCCAAATTGACTTGTAGCTAAAAAGAAATCAAACGTACCAAAGTGAAGGAATTAGAGCCCTCTCCAAAGTACGACACACGAAGGTGTCGGTTTTCGTGTAGCCCACGGCATTCTGGTAGGCCCATCCAAAAAGTTCGTTTTCTACAAACTCTTGAATGCGTGTCGCTTCCTACAGTGCTATGGTTGCGTCAAAGTTTAATCGTAAAGCTATCTTCTTCCCCGTCCTGTTCAATTATGTCTTTTTAAGCCAGGACAACCTTTTTTTTTTTTCACTTCGCTTTCTCAGTCCAGCTTCTAAGAGTGCGTATTGCTTCAGAAACATTCTGGCCTTTAAAAAAGAAAATAACATTTCCCACATTTTTTTTTTCACGCCTGCGCTTCGCAAAGCTTGACTAAACTTACACGCATTCTGTGGTGTTATAGTTTCTGTCACTGCCAGATGTGAAAAGCGCGACATCATAGACTACATTTAAACAGAAAGCAGAGAAAGAGAACGAGATAGAGATGAAAAAAAAGGCAGGGGAAAAGCAACACTTCGCTTGCGACGCCTCGCTGACCTCTCAGTGTGTCATTTCCAGGCATAAAAAAAACTACCATCTTCATTAATCTGCATAAGGTCCGGACATCAAAAGTACAACACACCCTCGGGCTGTCAACGTGTTTTTTTTTCTTTTTTATGCTACGTTCTTGTCTCATCCCTCTCACTTGAAGCAGCACAGTCCTTAATAAACCGTCTTGCGAAATCCCTTTTCGCTTGTCATAATATTTGTCTTTCGCCGTGTCGCAGCTTAAGTCGCTTCGTAAGCAATCTTCCAATGACGTTCAGTGACCTCAGCTGATTCGGCATTTCATTACCACACGCAGGCTCAAGGTCCCGCATATTAGAAGGGTGACGACACTTAACATTATTCGTGACGAGGGCTCTTCAATATGCGGCCTCTCTCAGAAGCTTAAGCGATCCTGGGATTCAACGGGCCTTTACGGAAATAACGGGAACAGCTTTCATTCAACGTTGTCGAGAATAATCTATCATTAAAAAAGAGGGGGGGGGGGGGGTGGCTTAGTGCATGTCGGCAACTTTTTTTCTTTCATTAAGCAAGATTGTATTGGTGTATTATGGTTTTGTAGAGCAACGCGATTGCGATATTGTCCCCTACACGAGTGTACAGACAGCTCCACTGTTAGAGGGAACACTGTATTGCAGGGCATGTCGACCTTTTATATTGTTACAAAACTATAGTGGCATGAATTTGCATAAGGCTAATGGTGATAGACAGTTATGACTCATTTCGATAAATAAGTGCAATATACTACCAATATTTCTACATTATCTTGAGTTTAGGTGAAGGGCCTTATTAGGGACGCACATAAGAGTGTTGTGGACCATACGGTACACAGTAAACCTGTAGCTCGGGATGTCGGATTCATTCGGGACGTCGTGACCGCTAGGGGTATCTTACGACCACCTAAATATAAGTACACGGTTTTTTTTTTTTGTAATTATTCTCAGTTAAAACGCCGGCATCATCGTGGGCAGCTATCCAAGCGACGTCGTCGAGATTGACAGTGCATGGGATTCATTGCCTGCTAGTCTCTCTCTCGCTCTCTCCGTCTCTCTCTCTCCCCACCACGGCGTGTCCAACTGCAGTGTCACGCAAAACAGTTGTTCCTCGCCAAGACCACACTTGGGTCTCTAATTCAGTTACATATTCTTTTTGATTCGTTCATCCCCTGTGTAGCAATGCTTCGTTACTCGTTTAAGTTTCAGCGCAGAACCATTCCTGCTTTAAGCCCTTCGTGCGCCATGTTTTAGTCGGGGTCAAATCGAGTTAGCTCAGCGCTGGTAGCACGGCAAATTTCAGTCGGCCCCTTAAAAAAATGGCAACATCGAAAAATGAAAGCAGTTCGACAGTTTACGACTGTTGGTCAGCAACAAGACACGTAATTCAATTATACAGAAAAAAGACTCCCGGGCGAGGTTTAAAGGAATACAAATACTGAAGTTTTGTAATCTTCAAGGGACGCAGTAACTTTTTAAACTCGTTGTCACTAACCTCATTTGCTTTACGATTATTCAGTGATTGGTAGTTTGCCTAATTCATTAGCTGTTTAATTGCACCGACGTAAATTTCACCGGTTGTCTGTTGCTTCAACTTCTCAGAGGGAAGTCGAAAACAGCTCTCGCGAAACTAATATTATGTTGTTTTTCTTACATGTTGCAGCCTGAAGCCCTAATTTTCTTCGTCATACTCATGCACACTTCAACGCTCAAAATAAAAGCGAGAAAAATTACTTCTCTTGGATGGCGTCATGCGAGATAAAATATTCTGATGTATTGAGGTCTGTTACAAGGAGCTATTCAGTTATGTAGCTATTGTGTGGGTTCTGAAATTTATTATATGCACAAGAGATGCGTGAAAACAAATATTTTCTAGCCCTCCGTGGTTTTCGCATGACGAGGAATAGTCCGTACCCTATTTGCGTGCCAACATACCTTCACATTGTATCAATAAATTAGCGAACGCACAGAATCTTCACTTGACGCTTCTCGCAGTTATAAAAAATGAGTCTGCAATTCTAACGGCACCATACTCACCACTTTGTTCAGTTAAAATTGTGTTGTGCGCAGTTCGAACAGCACGGAAGCCCAGATACGTTTTTTCTTGCTCTTACTGTAGTTTTTGCCGCTTTAGGAAAGTTAGCCAGACCTGTTACTGAGTTTATCATGAAGTGTCTCAGACTTAACTTCTCAAGGTATGTCAACGCTGTAGCACTAGAGGAAAGTACTTCACGAGAGGCAAAAGGCAAGTGTTGGAGACGAGAACTAGTTTGATAGTAATGTTACATAACAGATTAAGAAGATTCATTTTATTTTAACCCTCTAAAAAAAGGCAGTGTTCTTTCAAAGAATATTCAGATGAAAAGTTACAAATACATTGCTGCCGTTTCTCAGTGTTGTAAATGTTCACGCAGAAAGCTTTCACAATACTGTGAGCAATCCTTCAGGGTCGCTACAGCGTATTCAGATTACGCAGTCATTAATGAATATCAGGACAACGGTTCTACGTACATCTGCAATCGTAAATACGAGTACTTACATACGGCTATGCTTATCACCAACAGTTTTATAACGCTTTTAAAGACACAGTGAGGTAGTAACCCGTTCGCATGCTTTTCTGTGTTGACTGAATGCGTGCAGAACCTGCTGCACTCGACGGCGCTGCCTGAATACAAGACAGCGGCCATCAAGAAGTCCCGCTTCATAATCTCCCACTACGGGGCCTTCAAGACCTGTTGGGATTGGCTAATCCTGGTCGCCACGGTATACGTCGCCGTCGTCGTGCCTTACAGTGCCTGCTTCGGAGAGATGCAGGTGCGTTCTCCCCTACAGCGTGTACTCAGTTTTCAGTGCTTTAACAGAAAAAAAAATCATTTTTAGCTGAAAAAGATTATAGTTCAGAATGGTTGTGATGCAACAGCAGCTGATTATACATGGCTCGGTAGTTATTTTTGTTGTGTGGTGCTGAAAATATGATAAAGACACTTCTCGGTTTTTTTATTGTTGTTGTTGTTGTTGTTGTTGTTGTTGTTGTTGTTGTTGTTGTTGTTGTTGTTGTTGTTGTTGTTGTTGTTGTTGTTGTTGTTGTTGTTGTTGTTGTTGTTTTCTGTCACCTCTGAGTTTTTATGGGGCTGAGTAACGCCATCGCATTGAAGAGACGGCTTTCATAGCAACGTCCGTCCAATGGCCTCAAAACATTGCTCCCAGTAATCCTAGTTCGAAAGCACTAACCTTCGAAAGAACTTAAAGTCATACTTGAGCTTTTTTGTTGTTATTTTTTGTCTTTTAAACTTGTCTTATTCCGTTGTGGTTTCTGTGAATGTATGTATTTATGTGCTGCCCTCCTGCATGAACCAAACTAAGGTCTGCAGTATTGTGTAAATAAAAAAAAATAATGTAAGCACTGAAATACAATCTAAAAGTTGTTCCGCGAACATGATATTATAAACAAGAACTAAATGACCTGCAGTTTAAGCAAGGATGATCCCATGCACAAAACATGTGAGCGAATTTTAATACAAGTGTTTAGGTTATAATTCATTCGCAAAAAGTTCAACTATTTTAGTTAGTTGGTGGTCACTTATTAGTTTTCTTCCGGGCTTTTTTTTTTCAACACAAGACACCGACAGGAGCTCACGCTGGAACTATAATCATTAGCAAACTAGCGTAGACAGCTAGCTTACTTGCCTTTCTATGAAAGGACATAAATGACTCCTATTATCATGTTCATGCTGTAAGCATACGAAACTTGTTAGTAGGTTCATGACAGAACACTTTTTTATGCTATAATGAAATAACATCATAAAACTTTGCGCTGCATTCAAGAGAATGATTTATAGATTTTCCAGTGACCAGCAAAACTTCTTTGCAATCTTTTTATATTTCTTAGCATCGTTTTTTCTACATTATTCATTCATTTCATTCCGCCTCATCATCGTTATTGTTTTTGCCACATTACAGAAGTGTCAGAGGAAAAACATGAAAAGGAAAGGCAGGGAAGTTAACCAAGTGGCCAATATACACTCGACCTCAGTCTCGCTAATGCCATTTTAATTAGCCCCGCCGCGGTGGTCTAGTGGCTAAACTACTCGGCTGCTGACCCGCAGGGGTCGGAATCGAATCCCGGCGTGGGCATGCTGCATTTTCAATGGAGGCCAAAATGCTTTAGGTCTATGTGCTCAGATTTGGGTGCACGTTAAAGAACCTCAGGTGGTCAAAATTTCCGGAGCCCTCTACTAAGGCGTCTCTCATAATCATGTGGTGGTTTTCACACGTTAGGCCTCACATATCAATCAAACATTTTCACTACAACAGAAAGAAATCGAATAGAACAGGATGTCATGTGTTTCGTTCAAAACCATGCATCTCGCTAAATGCTACACTAGTCAGTCTACACGGCCTGTTCTCTTTCTTTACCTCCTGTTCCAACTTGAGCTTCTTTCCTCTCGTGAGTAGTGCACGTACCAGCACGCCCACCGACAAGTAATGCTATAAGTCCTGCCACAGCTGACGGCTATTCTTCTCATCTGTCTTCGCAGAGCCACACCGTGCAGCAGCAGCAGCAACGGATCGCCCTGATGGCGGCGGACCTGAACGGGAGCTCTCGGCTGGAGTTGGGAACCTCCAACGAGAGCCGCTACGGGACGGGGGGCGGTGGGGTCCCGGCGGGGAGTGCGCTGCCGCCGCTAGCCGCGGAGCCGCAGCTGGACGGCAACAGGACAATCATCTCCGACGTCATCGTCGAGGCCATGTTCATCATCGGTACGTCTGCCTCTGCATTATCCGTTGGAGTCCTTTTTTTTTATCTTCGTAGATAAAGGTTAAGGTGAATGGGTCTTTCAGAAGTCACTACAACCCAGTGCCCATACGTCGCTGACGGTGGCAACTAGTCCAAATGGTGTTGTGTGCATCACGGAGCATGCGTAGCCAAGTCTCTCCAATCCAGCGAGACTTACTCTCAAGGCGGACTCTGCTAAACGGGTGCAGCAGTGCATGCTCGGGTATGGCACGCAAGCCCCCTCCGGAGACTAGGTTGGCTGGGCGACGTTCCTGGGCGCGGCCATTATCAACAAGATCGTGGAAGTGCTTTCATGAATTCGGTATTCCGCAAAGTCGCTCGGCTCTTGTTTGTTCCTAAGTTTCAAGCAATAAATGACCTTTCGGGCTTGTGCTAACGGTTCTCGCACGTGCTCTTTGCTGGTGAGGGCTACAGCATGCAACCACACCGGGAAGCCAAGTCGTTTCAGCACGCACACATGAACCCAACAAAAGGAAGAAAGACGACAGACACATTCTTGGCACTTTTCATGTCAATATTACAAAAAAAAAACGTACACGTAGGCCACCTTTAGATTACCTTAAACAAAAATGAAATGCTATGCGAAGCAGTTATCTTTCGCAAAAGCCCACACGCCTCTCTTGATAACGGGGCGCACCGCCATTCCTGTGCGTTTTCAGATAAGTAGTGAGCCTGCTTTCATTTCACAACGCTGGGTTTTCCAGTCAACAATCTCCGCTTGCGAAGTTTTCAGCGATTGTGTCCCGCACGTCTACCTTTTTCTACGATGAATTTCTGCCAAATAGCTCAAGTCTCTATACCACTTTCTTCTACAAAAATACTTTACTGAAATGAGCAACAGCGAAACGACAGAATGATATATAATAATGTATATAAGTCATGGTTCGGAGCTAATGTGAGGAAATGGCAAAGAAAAAAGGTGACCAGCCAAAATATGACTCCTTATAAAACAACTAAGCTTAACGGCGTGATGGGCGCTTCTCACTCAACTGCGAAATGAGTAGGCTTTCTCAAAAGTCATTGCTAAAAGGATCTGGCTGAATAAACGTGCACCACAGAAGAAAAACTGCGATGGCATGCGTTTCGCAATTTGCCTATCAGTTTAGCTTACAGTGTTTTCACCTCAACGGCGTTATCAGCGTACGTTTTTCCTGTCCATTACAATGCATCGATGTAGCAGGTTTGGCATTGCTGGTTATGTTATCGTTTAACCACTGTGCGAGGCCAAATTCTAGCTGCTTAAATAATGCCACAGCACAAGTGCGGGTTCTTCCGACATTCCGCAAACGAATTTACCAAACGGCGCATGTGCCAATACACTGGTTACCGTACGGCAATAACACATAAATCTCGGTCCTAGAGCAACTTCCAAGGTCCTTTTCGCAACCGGAAGGAGTCATCGTTCACATTTTGACGTACACGAGCTTGGACACAGCTTACGCTTAGGGCAGATTTACTGACAGTACAGCCTCTTCTGCTCCATACATGGAAGCGTGAAAGTCTGGGCCAATTGGTTCATGTTTAGGTGCCAAAAAAAAAAAGAAAAACTCGGGACAAGGACGCAGAAGAGGCACGTTCATTCACAAACTGTCGCCAGACTTACAAACAACTCATTGATGCATCCACGCATATTTAAACGCCTTATTCCGCACATCCGCACAACCTAAGGCCCATCATCTGCCCGAAATTCGTACAATAAATTTGAGCTCCTAACACGACAGGGAATCGCATGATACGAACGTTTTCTTGTCCCTATCGTGTTTACGCTTTGACTTTTTTAGTAATAATCAGTAGTGACTAGTCCGCTTCTCCGTTTCGCTTCGCTTAATCTGCTGCCCATCACACTTCCCAGGAAGTCCTCTTTCTGCCGTTAAGAACGTCAGAAAAAAAAGCAGCAATTACAACGCTTGTACAGCCGTATGAGTTTTCACTAAAACAATTTGCAGTTTTTCAAAGCCTAATATTTCACTCTATAGGCTCACAAAAGCCTACTTCGAATGATAACGCAATGCATTACACCGTCGTGCTTCTTTATTTCCGTGGGCTTTTTGAAAATGGCAGTATGAGCGACATAACCAGAGATAACTGGCGTGTAATGTAAGGATAGCTCCGCGGGTTGGTTCTTTCTCTCTCTCCCTTTTTTTGGTAGTATATATGGCAAAAATTGCGTCCATGAAGCTGGGCCGATAAAAAAAATTTTAATGCACTATACCTGAGAAGGACACGTGCCTGTTATGAACGGACGCTCCTGTGTCACACCACAAAGAGCTGAAAGGCAGCCCGCATAGCCAGCAAGAAGAAGGTACCTTTTGTCGAGCCGAAAACGGGGCTTTTCAACACGGAGGACCGAAAGTGGCACGTGTCGTAAAGGTAGACGGGTACATGGGTGCAGCTAGTATGATACCTGGCCTTGGTGTACTCACCCCTTAGTAAGCTCTTTTGTTTTATGTCTTTTTTTTTATTGAATGAAGCGCTCGATCGTACGTCGCCTACTTGCGCTTTAACTTCGAAACCAATTTTCGTCATTGTCATGTGACGCACTTGTCTCGCTATTTCGCCCCTCTTTCGACCTGTTTCATGTTCCCGCACCCACGTTTCAAAGAATGAATAAAAGAGCACTGCCCCTTAACAATGGTAAGAACGTAAAAGAGAGCCAATGCAGCACCTAGTCACATAAAAATTGTTGAAGCACGAATTGATTTTAGTCTCCTTTCAAGGCGACACGCACGACTACAGGTGTCGTCTCGAATACCGAGGCGCTTTTGCACGAAACCTGATTTTTGGAGGAATTCAATTCATACGCAACAATGTGCCACACTTGTGACATCGGAGACGTAGCGTGCCTCTTACTTGACTTTTTTTTCTTTTTTTTCATAGTTCAGTTGCACGAATTCAAAAACTTGCCTTGAACTAAAGTATACCAAAGTGTGGGCATGCCTAACTCTGTGCCGCATCAAGTGACAGAAAAGTTACCTCGTTTTTAAAGTGAAGGACGTGTCGCTTAGGCTGTCTAAGATATTTTTTCAAGTTTTCATATATTGGTAGCCTGATTACGCAAAAAGTGCATAAAAAATACGCCAGGCTCGAGTAAAAGAAATGCCTGAAAGGCTGTGCATAAATCGGGCTTCATCTGCATCAACAACAGCATTGAAAATACATAGGTAATATACACGCCGGTTCGACCTTATAACGATATCAAAGTGACACGAATATTGTCATCATACAATCCATCAGGCAAGTCATCATTTGCATACGTGTCTTGACTCGATTTTCTTCATAAAACTTTATTTGGGAAGGCACCGTACATTGCATCGTTCAGTTTGCACTAGGTAACAATGACCCTACGCGTGATACTTTAACCAATGCAACGGCCACCCGTAAAGTGTCCTGCCATCACAATGATTCAAACTCGAACTTTCTTCTACGAGCACATTTTAGATGCGAAGCAGCTTAAGGCGGAGTTCAATCCGGTCTGTGGCGTGACCACCCTTACTGTGCATGCGCAACAGCTGGCCCAAGCACTGTCAGAACGTGCTCACGTGCTAGCGCGTTCGGGCCTGTGTAAAGTGCTGGGTACATGACGCTGGAGCCTCTCCCAGGAATCTCTCAGCTATCACGTGATGGCATCGGGGAACAAGATTCTGCAGGCGCGCGATGAACCAACGGGTTGTATCCTAGTCGGGGCACACTGGTACGCGCTAGCGCGTTCAGGCCTGCGTAAGTGACTGTGTAATACCCCTGTCACACGTAGCAACTTGAGTGAACTTTGAGCGAGTGCACTTAGCCGCGAGTGTCATTTGTGCGCAGTCACACGCGCAAGTTTAGTGTCGCTCGCTGCAAAGTATACACTTGCCGGCAAGTGCGTTCCCCAACCTCACTTCACTGCGACGGCTGTGGTGAAGTGTGTAGCCTCGGTACCAGTGGCTTGTACAGAAAGACGCTCTTGCCTAGAGCGGCGCTCATACTATATTTAAACCATTGTTTTTGTTATGATGGATCATCATCATCATCATCATCATCATCAGCCTGTCTACGTCCACTGCAGGACAAAGGCCTCTCCCATGTTCCGCCAGTTAACCCGGTCCTGTGCTTGCTGTTGCCAATTTATACCCGCAAACTTCTTAATCTCATCTGCCCACCTAACCTTCTGTCTCCCCCTACCCCGCTTCCCTTCTCTGGGAATCCAGTTGGTGACCCTTAATGACCAGCGGTTATCCTGTCTACGTGCTACATGCCCGGCCCATGTCCATTTCCTCTTCTTTATTGCAGCTATGATATCCTTAACTCCCGTTTGTCCCCTAATCCACTCTGCTCTCTTCTTGTCTCTTAAGGTTACACCTACCATTTTTCTTTCCATTGCTCGCTGCGTCGTCCTCAATTTAAGTTGAACCCTCTTTGTGAGTCTCCAGGTTTCTGCTCCGTAGCTAAGTACCGGCAAGATACAGCTGTTATATACCTTCCTCTTGAGGGACAGTGGCAATCTACTTGTCATAATTTGAGAGTGCCTGCCGAATGTGCTCCACCCCATTCTTATTCTTCTATTTACTTCAATCTCGTGGTTAGGCTCTGCGGTTATTACCTGCCCTAAGTAGACATAGTCTTTTACAACTTCAAGTGCACTATTACCTATCGCAAAGCGCTGCTCCTTTCCGAGGTTGTTGTACATTACTTTCGTTTTCTGCAGATTAATTTTAAGACCCACCTTTCTGCTCTCCTTGTCTAACTCCGTAGTCATGAGTTGCAATTCGTCCCCTGAGTTACTCAGCAATGCAATGTCATCGGCGAAGCGCAGGTTACTGAGGTACTCTCCATTAACTCTTATCCCTAACTGTTCCCATTCTAGGCTTCTGAAAACGTCCTGTAAGCACGCAGTGAATAGCATTGGGGAGATTGTGTCCCCCTGCCTTACACCCTTCTTTATTGGTATTCTGTTGCTGTCTTTATGAAGCACTATGGTAGCAGT